AAAATGTACCATTTCCTAGTAAAATACTTGAACTTCAAAAGTTAAGAAAAAATTCAAGCATAATATGAGCTAATATGACATATTTAAAGCCAAATGTATCCATCATATCACTTTATATAGAGGGTAAAACTCACCTATTTTTTTAAAAAAGACTTTTAGATTAGATCACCAGGCAAAATCCAGCAAAGAAGAGACATATATTTAATGACTTAGAAAATGTAAAAATAGGCTGGACATGGTGGCTCACACTTATAATCCTAGCACTTTGGAAAGCCAAGGTGGGGAGGATCACCTGAGCCTAGGAGTTCAAGACTAGCCAGGGAAAAATAACAAGACTCCATCTCTACAAAAAAAAAAAAAAAAATTAAATTAGCTGGGAATGGTGGCATGCACCTGTAATCCCAGCTACTCAGGAGGCTGGGATAGGAGGAGCCCTTGAGCCCAGGAAGGTGAGGCTGCAGTGAGCCATGGCAGAACCTGTCTGGAAAAAAACCAAAAATTAAAAATTAGAAAATCTAAAATAAAAAGGTGCAAAATTAAACAATGATTTACTTGACTATAAAACACATATGAATAATTCAAATTAAAGCAAATCATTTTGATGTTTACCACAAAACCATATCACATATTCAAACCTAATATATAGGCTATTTCTTTTCTTTTTTTTTTTTAACATACCATACCAGATTCACAGATAAAGCACAGAAAATGATACTTTGACACAGAAAATCAATGCTCAGTCAAAACTAATCCTCTTTGCTTAAAATTGTGAGAAACAGTTTGCCCACTCATTTGCTAAGGCAGGGCCCTCTGTTCTCAAGTGAAGACCAGTGAGGTCTACATGTGGCTCCACTATGCTTAAATTGTTGATTATGATAGAATCATTTGGACCCAGACGATGATCAAGGACTTCTGTATACCCTATATACTAGGCATATTTTTTACTATTAAGAATCGCTGAATAATGCTACGAAATTGTTTCCTAGAAAGTTATATAAAGAGAGTTAACGACTCATTTGATACAATATAGGCTATAAAAGAAATTTTAAAAAATAAGAATAAAATAGGCAACGATATGAGGAAAATGTAAACCAAAAGGAACAGGGATCATGTTCTTTAGTCAGATAAGAAAAAAATTCATGCCAGAAGCATTCAGTAAAGTAAAGGCACTTTGTTTTTTTAATGGATTCAGTTCACAAGAGTTATAAAGATTAAGAATATCTTTATGTTAAATTACATAGCAATAACATTCACAAAAGAAAAACTCCAGGAGATACCAGTAAAAACAGATAGACACGTTAGTTGCAGGAAATGTTAATTCACTTCTGTTGGGCCACTGTAAGGCCAAATAATAAGTAAGGTTATAGAGAGCTTAAATCTTCCAAAATCCTTTTATGGAATTAGCATAAAATTAATATGAAACCTGACCAAATATTGATGCGAAAAATTTTAAATAAAATATTAAAAACAGAATTTAGCAGCACATTATTTCCCAAGATCCAGTACAACACGTTCCAGGAATGCAAAGTTAACTAATATTGAGAAATTTGTTTCTGTAATTTATCATATTGATAGATCTAAGGACAAAAATATTTGATATACCTATAGATGCTAAAAAGGCATTTAATGAAATTCACAATTTATTCTTTACTTAAAAATAAACTCAATAAAATAGCAATAGATTGATACCTCTTTAATATTGTAAATTATAATGTTATAAAATCTTTCACCCCAAAAGCCACCATAAATGCTTACTAGGGAAATTAAATCAAATATATAAACTTTGAAAATTGAAAGTGATGCATTCTATATGATTTAAAACATTTACTGTATTTTTTTTTTTTTTTGTTTTGACCATAAAATTTTATGCCAAAAATCAAGAACCAAAACTAGGAACTAAGCTAGCATTCTTGTTCTAATTACTTTTATATGAACTAGCATAGAATATTCTAGCCAACATAATAAGTCGTGGGATATATAAAATATATAGATCTCAGAAAGGCTGCATAAAACACAAAAATCTTTCTAGAAAACCCAAGATGATGAATTGAAAATTTATCATAATTAAGTATAGTTAAGAAAAACAGCAAGTTACAAAATAAATACAAAAAGCAGGACATGGTGGCTCAAGCCTGTAATCCCAGCACTTTGGGAGGCTGAGGTGGGCAGATCACGAGGTCAAGGGATCGAGACCATCCTGACTAATGTGGTGAAACCCCGTCTCTACTGAAAATACAAAAAATTAGCCGGGCGTGGTGGCACGCTCCTGTAATCCCAGCTACTTGGGAGGCTGAGGCAGGAGAATTGCTTGAATCGCGGAGGCAGAGGTTGCAGTGAGACGAGATTGCACCACTGCACTCCAGCCTGGGTGACAGAGTGAGACTCCATCTAAAAAACAAAACGAAACAAAACAAAAAAACCCAATAGGTTCATTTAATCAGCAAAAACTAATTAAAAGTTCTAATGAGAAAAAAATATTTTGTTAACAACAACAACAAAAAGACAAAATACACTAGGAAACACAGTTAAAAATTTGTGAAGCTCAATAGCAAAGACATGGAGTCAACCTAAATGCTCATCAGTGGTACACTGGATAAAGAAAATGTGGTATATATACAGCATGGAATATTACACAACCGTAAAAAAGAACAAGATCATGTTCTTCGTAGGAACATGGAGTCGGAGGCTATTATCCTTAGCAAATTAATGCAGGAACAGAAAAACAAATACTGCATGTTGTCACTTTAAGTGGGAGCTAAATGATAAGAACACATGGACCCATAGAGGGGAGCAACACACACTGGGGCTTATCAGAGGATGGATGGTGGGAGGAAGGAGAGAATCAGAAAAAATAACTAATGAGTACTAGGCATAATACTTGGGGGACAAAATAACTTGTAAAACAAACTCCCATGATGTGAGTTTACCGAAATAGCAAACTTGCACATGTACCCCTGAACTTAAAAGTTTAAAAAAATTTCTGAAGCTTACATAGAGAAAGTTGCAAAATTAGCATTGTAAAATAATTGAGAAATGACAGACAGAAAAGACAGCCCTGAAATAGAATCTGATATATTTAAAACAATTACTAGGAAATGAATTATTCACTAATTGGTAGCAGGAAGATTAAGTTAGCTATTTAGAAGAAAATGTACATGTCTACTTATTTCCATAAATACCAGATAGATTTAAGAGCTAACAAATGGTTAAAAGATAAATTTCTAGAGTAATAAATGTTGAGTGTTTTGTGAAGTTCTTTTTAATCTGGAAAAAAGTAGAGATGATTTTTATTCAACTTTTGAATAAGGAAAACTTGAAGTTAAACAAAAATCTGTTACAGGAATCACACAGAAAGAAAGGAGAATGTGTGGATGATATCTGCATGTGCTTAGAATGCCTCTGTGAAAACATAAGGATATGCTGAACCTGGCTCCCACTGAGGAAGGGGACTGGGATGGATGAGGAACAGGACTGACAGGGAGATTAACTTTTCACTGTAAACCCTTTCTTTGCGTCTTTTGAATTTTTGTACCATGTTTATGTATTACCTTTCAAAAACAATGTAAACAACTTAAGTTTCCGATTTAGAAAAGGAAAAACAATGAGGCCCCCCAAATTGACAAATTTAATTACTTAAAATCTTAGGATGTCGTTGAATAGCAGCAAAAAAACAAAACAAAACAAAACAAAAAACAAAAACAAACAAACAAAAAATAATAATGAAACATGGAGATATATTTGCAGCCAAATGTCAAATGTTCACTTATTATCCTTAATAGAAAAATATATTGTACCAAAGAAGGTTAAAAAAAAAAATGAGGTCACCTAAAGAAAAATATACATAAGGTACAGTGGGTAGTTCCCAAAGGAGAAAATACAAACAGCCCATAAACACAGAAGCATTCAACCTCACTTTTGGGCAAAGAAATTCCTAAGCAAAATAGCAATAAGATACTGTTTCTCACTAACAAATTAGAAATATTATAAATACTCTGTTCTTGTAAGTGTACAATAAGATCATGCTATTACCCAGCTAGAGGGAGTTCAAATTCGTAAAACCTTTCTGGAACATAGTTCAGCATACCTAATTTGAGCCTTAAAAATGTTCCTGTCCTTTGTCTCAGAAATTTTCACTTCTGGAGGCTCTAGTATATAAATAATTTGCAATGTAGAGAGAGCTTCATGCACAAGATGTTTACTGCCCTATTAGTTATAGCAACAGCAACAGAAAATTGTTACAACTGGAGTTTGGTGTAGTGCCGAAAAACCCCGTCGTTTCCCGTCTCTAATCTCACTTGATGATGTCAGGCTCTAAATACTTTCCTGCTCTATTATGTTTTCAGTTTTGTGAGTCCACCATGTGAAGTTCACAGTCAGACCAATTTTCCAAATTAATGCAATGGGCCTGTTTTTAACATTTAGATGTTTTGGAGGTCCCATTATTTCTCAGTAAAGATGATCAGGTATTTGAGGGAGAATTAAAACAGGGGAATGGAGGAAAACCTGGTTGGGGAAAGCTAAAATGGGTTTTGTAGTTATCTGAGTTGAAAAGGGAGAGATGAAATGATGTGTTCCATTATGTCCAGAAAGAGGGAGAAAACTAATGAGGGGAAATTGAAGGGTAATTTGAAACATTTCACAAAAGTTGCTGAAATGTCAGAGTAAAAAGTAACCCCTGCCCTGTAATGGACTTAGAAACTGAAATAGTCTAAAGATTAAACCCACTTGCAAATGAATAGTTAAGCGCCTGTGGATTCTCAGGGATCCCTGTCTAAGGGTGATAGTAGAACCTGCTCCATTTTAGCATGTTTGAGTATCTGCCTCTTCCACAAGATTAGGATCTCCAAGGAAGAAAGCCTTTACTGTATTAGGCTTAACACCCTCACCCCTTGGCACACAGCCTGGTGCACCCATTTTCTAAATGACTGAGTTAGTATTTTGTCCTTTGAAGGATAACTTTCTAGAGTATTATTTAATATGAAGATTTTCTTTCCAAACAGGATTACCAAACCAATAACAATGACCAGGCAGTAGTTGAAATCTGTATCACAAGAATCACAACAGCCATCAGAGAGACTGAATCTATTGAAAAGCATGCAAAGGCCCTTGTGGGGCTCTGGGACTCCTGCTTGGAACATAACCTGAGACCCTTCGGGAAAGATGAAGACACTCCTCATGCAAAAATTGCATCTGATATCATGAGTTGCATTTTACAGGTATGTCAGTGTTCAACATCAGGCTATTTGATACTGAGTTGGCAGCCTAGGTGAACCCATGATATCTCTGAACCAAGAGCTAATGTTTCTGTAGCATTTAGATACTGTAAAAAGACACCACAAGCCATCAATAGCTAAGCTGGGAGGGCTGGTAATTAATAAACTGAGAAAGTTCTATAGAGCTCCTGCTACATGCAAGACACACAGTAGGGAATTCAAGTGATACCACTGCAAGCCTCTAATCTGTTTGGAGAGTATACATATACAAAATTAAGAATAAAGCAATATGTGCCAAGACCCACAGGAAGAGTACTAAAAAATTCAGAAGAGGAGAGATCTCTTTCATCCAGGGAGAACACAGTAGAAACAGAAAATGAACTGAGGGGCAGTGAGCTCGGGGTGTAGCAGGGAAAGCGACTAAGTCATTTCAGACATATTTCTATGCGTGTTGAGAATTTTTCTTGATGGTATTTGCCTGTTCTGACCACAGTTAATTCTTTCCTATGGTGTAAATGTGAATTTGGAGTTTTGGCTCAGCCACTCATGAGTTGTGTAAGACTGCAATGTTGGGCAAGTCACTTAAATTCTTAAGCCACAGGGTCCTCCTTGTGAAGTGCACATTAAATGACATTGTCTATGACAAATTTACCAACCAGACATGATGATAGGTGTTTCTCAAGAAAGAATTTTATGATCAAATAAGCTGGGAAACAATTCGTGTTTTCCCTTTTGAGCGATCACAATGTTTCACGGCACATTAAAGTTTCTGTAAAGTACTGCAATAAAGAAAGCTGGTTAACCTTGTTTAGGCCAGCATTTTCCAGTCTGATTTCACCATGGAATCTCCTTTCTCCTCCCCACTCCCAACACAACACTGTGAAAATCCCTCAGAACCTGTGTTCCACTGAGCACAGGTCAGGAAATTCTGGTTATGTTAAAATGCTTAGCAGTGCATGTGGCAGCTGATATAAGCATCCTTTATTCTTCTTCCTTTTTTCCCCACAGTTGTTAATGATTAACTGGATCATATTATACCTCGTCTGCTCAGTCTAGGAATTGATCAACTGAACAAAAGACCCACATTGTGTCTCCTTCATCCCCAGGGTTAAGGGTAGGTGGGGAGAAAATGAGGATTGCAGCAAAATTAACAAAAGATGGATAGTCCTTGATAGAACACCAAAGACCCAAATGCATTTGCTCTTCATTGATTATCTCAGTATATTATTGATATATATCAGAAACATAGTTTATTTCACTCCAATATGCACTTTAACAGACATCCAGACAATTTAGCCATCCTATCCCTCTCCCCCTGCAGGTTCAAAACCACTGGTCTTTAGGGCAGCACTATCCAATATAAATCTAATACAAGCCAAACAGAAGCCAAAGATGTAATTTTAAATGTTTTTGTCCCAGGGTAAGTGGGGGAACAGTGGTGAAGAGGGAGAAAAAGAATACAAATATATTTATTACCACTGAGCTGTACACATAAAAATTTTACAGATGGTAAATTATATATGTATATTTTGTCTCAATTAAAAAATTAAAAAGAAAAAATTATAGTAGCCACTTAAGTAAAAATAAAGATGAAATTGATTTTGATAATATATTTCCTCAATCCATTGTATCCAAAATAGTGTCATTTCAACATGCAATCAATATAACAATTTTTTAAATTTATTTATTTTATTATTATTATTATTATTTTGAGATGGAGTCTCACTGTGTCGCCCAGGCTGGAGTGCAGTGGCGTGATGATCTCAGCTCACTGCAACCTCCACCTCCCAGGTTCAGGCGATTCTCCTGCCTCAGCCTCCCGAGTAGCTGGGACTACAGGTGCCTGCCACCATGCCTGGCTAATTTTTGTATATTTTTAGTAGAGAAGGGGTTTCACCATATTGGCCAGGCTGGCCTTGAACTCCTGACCTTGTGATTCATCATTTTTTTACACAATTCTTACATATCTGATGTGCATTTTAGTGTCTCACTAAATGGACTAGTCACACTTCAGATGCTCAAGAGCATCCCATGGTCAGTGGGTCCTGTGTTAACACAGTTTTAGAATAATCAGAGAAAGTTTTCTGGGTGGAGATCGTGTTAGGAAGGCTTATGAGCAGTTAGCAGGAATTTCATTAGATAGGCTAATTAGAGTGAGAAGACAGTCTACATAGGAAAACAGCTTGTGCAAAAGTAGAGATTTGTGAAATAAGACCAAGATCAGAGAATTGTAAGCATGCTACCTTTCCAAAATGCCCATGATTCTAACATTTATGTTAGATGGGATGTTTTATTCTGCGTAAAGCATTATGTCTCTTACTTAAAGGGGATGGGATATGGTGTAGGGAATTAAATGCTTTTGAGAAATTGAAATGCTCAACTCACTGATGAACAAGACTTAGTGTAAATGAGTTTGTAAGATTGTTGAGAGCAGGGTTCTGAGGTCAAGAGCTGATATTTTGGGAAGCAAAAGAGAAAACGACTGAAGACTAGTAGGCCCCTTGGTTAAGGGGGACAAGTCAGGCAGAGAAGTGGGTAAGTCTAGCATGTAGGGCCAGTGTAGGGATGAGGTGTTCATGGTAGGCCCTCAGAAGGAGGCAGAAGCCACTAAAATGGAAAGCATGAAGGCCTAAAGGCAAACTTGCTTTCAGCAAAGTTCAGCATCTTGTCCTGCCCACCTCTAGGGGTCCCAGAAAGGCAGCCCCAGGAACCAAAGGCAAAGCTGTGGTCATAGCATTTATATTTAGCTCTCATCAGATTTTAAAGGGAAGTTTTTGGCTTGCAGTAAACACTGAAAGGATGATTTTGGTATTACTTGTAATTTAGGTTCCTGTGGGGAATGTGTAGAAATCCAAATGACTCATTTTCTTCTATTTTTTTTTTTTCAGTAAAATGAAACAATAGACCAACTTTCAAAAGTTAGACACTCAGCATTTTTAGCTTTACACAAAATGGAAGGAAAACAAACAACAAAAAATGAGTGATTCCCTCTCCACCCATCCCATCTCCCCAGATAAGCAACCCAGGGTCTTACTATCTGATCAGTCATTTCTTCTTCCCGAACCCTTGGCCATTTCATTTGATTTCTTTTTTTCTGGCCACTTCACTGTCATTTTAAGCTAAATGTGTACATACACACACACACTTTTCTTTTTGTTCCCCAGATTTCCTCTTGTCGGTCTACCCTCAAGCCTACTTCAGGCGACCATTCCTTTTCCTCTTTTAGTTGGTAATTAGACTTCTTTTCTTGGTCCCCAAATTTGTGAACTTGCCACATTTACCTTAAAATAACTTTCAAAATTCCAGAACTCACCTTCTACTCTTTCCTCAATACAAAATCACTACATATATGGGGCGTGCACTTGTGAATTTTTTTTTGGCTTCGGGCCATATGTTTCTATACATCCTGTGTCCTTAGACAAGTCTCTCAACTTATGTATAAAATAGAGAATTGAATCAGATCACCTTCCATGTCATCTCCCAGTCAGAAATTCTGACTCCCTGAGGAGACTCTAAGAATAGAATAGCAAAGAGCTTTAGAGCTTGAGGCTTCCATGTCATTTGGATCTTGGTCTTACTAAGAGGAGAGATTAGCAAGGTATTTTCTCTCTCTCAATTTCTGTTCTGCCATCTCTAAAGTTGGGATAACAATACCTCCTGCTCAGGACTGTTATGAAGGTTAAAAATGATACTGCATATACAGTGTTTACATAGTACAATTGCTACATAGTAAGTACTCAATAGAAATAGTGGTTTGTAGCTAGCAAATTAATCCAGGCTTGCACGGCAATGAAAACAAGCATCCAGCTGGTTCCATTCAAGACATCAAACTATTGGAGTTTAGTACTTCTCATTGGTGGTGGCAGGTACACGTGAGGAGGATCTTTTATTACAAAAGCAATCTCTATCTGTGCTCTAGCCACTATATGGAAGTACCTAATTCAAAGCACAGCTTACCTAGAGTTAACAGCTTCCTGTAACCCTCTGACCAGATATCTACATGGAATTGGCCATCCCCACCCCCACTCTTTTTTGGCTCCTAGAAAAATCCTGAAAAACAATATACCCATACAATGTGTATTACATGAAAGGATAAAAACAAACTTGACAAACTTGATTAAAATTAAAATGTACCTCAAGGACATTATAATGATCGACATAGCTGCTGTTCTAGAATGAAATTCTAGAGAATTAACAGGTCAACCATCATGAAGCCTGGCAGCCAATGCCTGGCTTTATCCTCACTCTACTGTAGTCACAGCCTCTTCCCCAGCCAAATCACTTAGCAGAGCCATTGCCATGTATTTAATCAGCTCCACATTTCATCTTCCCTGCATCTCTGCTACCACTGTTGATGACTACATGAAGAGGGAAATAACCAAAGCAGGGTAAGAGGGGTAATGGAAATAATCTCCAGATCTGCTGCCGGAAAATCAGAAAGTGTCTACTTTTCCCTCTTTATAGAAGGACCCGCTGTTCCTTCTCCTTGATGCCACACAGTCTTCTCAGTTCTTCTTCCCCAGTCAATGCAATATGAAGGTTTAAACTCTGCCCTTGCTGGTGTTGCATGTGAAGTGCCTCAGACAGTGGAGGGCATTTCCTTCACAACTCTTAGAGGTGGGACTGGTTATGCCAATCTAGCAGTTTATTCAGGAGGCAATCCCAGCTCCACTCTGTACCTAGTGTGGTCTTGGGAAAATTAATCTTTCTGGGCCTTAATTGCCTCATATGTAAAATGCCGATATTAAGAGCAGCTGCCTCATGAGTTTGCTGTGAAGAGTAAATTAATAAACTTTAAATAATAGACAAAATATTTAGAACATAGGGAGTTGGTATCATCATCATTATCACTATCTAGGAGACTAACACTATCATTATTTGGGTGACTAAAATAACACTCGACGCTTTCTAACAAACTATTGATTTAATTATGTGTTATAGCCACTTTTTAAATATCCTGTCTCTCCTTTCCCCAAATTACAAGCCCTTTTATTCACTGAAGT